CTGTGGTCCCACTCTGTCCGTAGGGTAGAATGTATCTAGTCATAGCTGATGGTCAATCTGTTATTCTGTTATTCTAGTTGTTATTTACTTTTCAATTTTATATTGTTATGTGTTATGATGTAAACACCAAGGGCAGATGTGTCCTTTCATGTAACTAGCATAACATATAAATATTAAATTGAAGTGGCGGCGGCAGAACATTGAGATTCTGTCCTTCCTTTCAAGTTTGTGTTCTACTGCTCTCTCACTACTCTTTCCTCTATACTTTCTCTTCTTTTTGAACCTAAAATTTAGTAGTGCTCAAGACTGATAGCAGTCTTGAACATCTACGGATAAAACAAAAGTAACCAATTTTCAAAGTACTTTCTTTCAGAGCCTTGTTGCTTTTCAAGCATCAGACTTTAGAGCAACTAAACAAGACCTAAAACAAGTTGTTTTAGAGATGAGAGAGATCAAGTAATTGATCTATCCAGAGGCCTTCAAGCCTAGATCGACACTTGATCTCAGAAAAGGAACCAAAGCAAGCCAAGTTAAGTGTCACAACAAATCTAAGTGCCCCAACCTGAAGCAACTTGTTTTTCTCACTTTCCTAGACTTCTGAGCACCTATCCAAGACAACTACTTTGGCAGAAACCTTCAGTTCTCCAAAAAATTTCCAAAACCAAGTTAAAACTATTAACTACTCCTGTTCACCCTCTATCTCATCCAGTTAGCTGGACTAAAACTATGAAAATTGATATGTCGGCTGAAACTTGGATCTGATACCAAAATGCTGATCAGTCCAGACACAAAATAAAATACTCTAATTTAATTAACTACTATATTAACGTTTAACTAAGAAAGTGAGAATAGAAGAAAAAGACAAGAAAAGAAGAGAGTTAAAGTTCAGATCATGGGGCTCAATATAAGACCCCATTGTCTTATATAGCTTAACAAATGTGAAATCAAATTACAACTCTGCTCCCACTTAGCTTGCAGCACTAATAATGAATATAGAAAATCTAAGGCTCAAGGCCCATAACTATAATCCCCCGTAACTAAAGTAAAAATATAAATAGCAGCACTAACATTAAAACTGACCCATTAATCAATATTTTCTAAAAAAAACATTGAATTATAAACCTACTTTATACCAATTTATGGTATTTAATGTTTTCTATATCAAAAAACTAAGTGCCTTTAATATGACAATTGTCAAGATTTGGGCAGAAGAAAGCATCAGATCTCTACTAATCTATGCATTAGTCAAAGGGAAACTGCAAATCAAGAATATGAACTCAACCTTTGCTCACTGAAGAATTCTCAAGACACCAACGAAGAATAAAACTTGCCCCTGAATCACTCTTTTCTACAAAAACATTGAATTATAAATCTACTTTATACCAATTTCTGGTATTTAATGTTTTCTCATTCAAAAAACTGAGTTTCCTTAATATGACCATAGTCAAGATTTGGGCATAAGAAAGCATCAGATCTCTATTAATCTATGTATTAGTCAAAGGGAAACTGCAAATAAAGAATATGAATTCTACCTTTGCTCACTGAAGAATTCTCAAGACACCATCTAAGAAGCTCTTCCCCACAAACATCTCCCTCTGATAAGGGGATTATACTCCGATCTTCTCCAGTGCTCTCCATTTGACCCCGTACAATGAATACCATTTTTTCAACTGGCAAACCAGCAGTTAAAATGTTGCTTCCTTCTATATATATCTTCTGTCTTAGTCTCTCACGGATAGCATCTAAGATAGGTTCCTCCATGAGGGAAAAAATCCGAACCTGACGATTAATTAAGTACATATTCTTAAAACAAGCATGAGAATATAATATGAAGATTCAAAAATCATAAAACAATATTTTTGAGAGTTCGGTTTATACAGCAATGATTTACTGCTGTTATACTTCTATTTTAGTATTTTTAAGTTGCTGTTTATGGTTATTATAAACATATTTATTTTTTTAGTATAAATAGATGAGAGAGGGGCTCAATTATCCTTGTTTTTTGACCTGCTTTTGGAGGTTTATTGGAGGTCTGATTTTCTGCACAAGGAGAAATTTTGGAGTGTTACCTAAAATTCACAAAAAAAACAGAGAAAAGGGGATGGGTTTCAATTATAATCCTTATAACTCATCTAGGAAGAGGTGCTCAATTATTTTTAGATTTATTTCAACACTATACAGTGGATGCTCAATTCTTATAACTCCTTATAATCCTTCTCGGGAACTGATTTACTGGTAAATTGAAATATGAAATTTCAGGATTGTTCTTGCATTGAACCGGACCAAATTTGAAACCAAAGAGAAAGGAGATTATACTTGATACAGAGACCACAAATCACAGTTCACAAGGTGGTAATTCACACCCAATATCAGTCCCAAAATCGTTCTCCAATTGAAGATGGTGCAGTGTACAGAGAACCGATTTAGCAACACTTGTTTTCAGCATATCTGCTATCCAACTTGTTTGGATCGAGTGGGGTAATTGAGCCTGAAATTTTACTGAGTTTTTCTTGCAAAAAAAAAAGAAGGCTGATAAAAGTCAGTTCTTGAAAACCTAGGTCATTCAAGGGTTTCTTGGGAGACAAAAGAGAATAAGAAAGAACAAGAGAGAGAGAGGTGTCCAAGTCTAGTTCGCCCTCTTCTTCTTTTATCTCTTAATGGAGCATTCTCCTAATTTAATTAGGAGATTATCCAAATCTGAATTAGATCTGGACTCTTTTAACAATTAAACGTTATCATCTTAAGAGGATAAGTTCTCCATACCCAACATCAAACCTAGATTGGACCCAGAGCAAGTTGTCATGTGACAACATTATTAATCTTAGTAATTATGGGCCTTTGGCCCATTTTCTTCAAAGGCTCATGACCCTAGGTGTTGCATGGCCACTTTAGGCCTAATATTGTATGGCATGGGACCCCACAAAGGTTTCCTTCAAGTCCATAAGGGTCCGGCCTAACCTCTTTTAGAGGTGGGCTCAGCCTGGGCCCAACATTTACACCTAAATGATCCTTGGATTCAGCCACCCTATTAAGACCCAAGGATAATGGACTTAAGTGAGATAAATCCAATCAAGTAAGTAGAAATCACTAATTGCAGATTTAGTCGAGTTTCTTGTGAAAGGAAAGAGGGGGAAGATGAAGATTTCAGTAGTAGAGAAGAAAGGAGAAGAAGAAAAGAGTAGGAATTCAACCAGGATTGTAAAATTAACCCTAGCCACCTACCTCTCATTATATTTATACTTAACTTAAAG